TAAGATGTTCCGAGTAGCGCAGTTTTTTGTAACATTGCTGGAGTTATTGCAGGAAGCTGCAGTTTCCTGATGTATTTTGCAAAGTTTTTGGGACATAGTTCCCAGTGCCCCGATGACAATGGGTATCACTGTTATACGTTTCATCCATAATCGCGCAGTTTCGATGGCCAGGTCGCGATATTTTGTAATTTTTTACAGTTCTTTTTCTTCGACTCTGGCATCTCCTGCTATCAATCAGCTGTACGCTTCGGTTCTCTATAACTGCGATATCTGATGTGTTGTTGTTGTTGTTGATGATGATGTTTGTTGGTTTTCATTTTTAATTTTTTAGTCCCAATATTCTTGGTTTGCATTCTACGTAACTTCCTTAAGTCAGAGCAAATACTATATTGTTTAGACTTCTACCCATTTAATAAAGACAGGTTGGGGGCAGTTCAAGATGAATAGGTTAGCTTTCTGTTTACAGAAGGCAGGATCTTTGAAGATTGAAACAGAAGTGGACTTCTCTTACATGTCAGTAGCAAAAGGGGGTAGCATCTCCTCCAGTCCTATGGAAATTCATCAGACAGATGCAGGAGGAGGATTAATTCATGGTTTGTTTGTAAACCATTAGGGTTCCCTGGATCAGTCAATAAAGTGAAGGCCTTTAAAATGCAGCTTTCTTGCCAATATTATCTCATAAGCATCTAATTTCCTATAAATTAGATATAAAATTCTAAACTATCTTTCTTAGGAAATTCAATATGAATTGACCTATTTAGAATGAAGCAGTTCCTTGCCAAAAACAAAGTTCACAGGCACCCCACAGATTAATAGATAACTGGTTTTGCCTCACTATCATTTTCTTGCTTATAGAAATCGGTCTGTATAATTTGTCTGTATAATTTATATAATTTACCCACAAGACAACACATACTTACTTTACTTTTTTTTTTAACTCTTTTTAATACATCACCATATTTTATTTATTCACATCTCCAGGTTGTTAATCATTTCTCCTAAAGCATTTTTTTAATTTGCTTTTCACTTGGCATTTTATAACAAGACATCTTTGATTGCCCCAAGAGGAGTGAATTAGCACATTTTACAGTACGCATTCCCAGTAATTCCACAAAAGTTAAATGTGCTCTCAAAATCTATATCTCTGATATAGAATAGGATACTCCTTTCAAGTACTGATAAAGGGAATAAATCATTACATGCAAGCCAACAATTATTATGTGAAAGGCCTATTAGGTAAATCTCACCAGGAATCAACTCTACAGAAAGACTGGTTATAATAAAAGAATTGAAACTGGTTATAATAAAAGAATCTTGCATCTTTATTGTATCTGGTTAAAATTAGGGTAGTAATGCTCAGACATGGAAATTCCTGGAAACTTTGAGTAGCTACTAAATGGAACATATCCAGAAGAGCACTTTGCTCATGATCAGAACAGGATGCAGTATTCCAAGTGTAGCCTCACTAGTGTGATATAGAGTGGTACTATCACTTCTCATGATTTTGATGCTATCCCTCCGTTGATGCAGCCTAGAACTGCATCGGGTTTTTTGGCAGCTAAAGCACACTGCTGGCTGATACTTAAGTGTTTGTCCACTAATACACCTAAATCCTCCCACAGTTAACTACTGTTGAACCAGGTTCCACCTATTATATACTCATGCAGTTTGCTTTTCCTGCCCAATTGTAGAATCTTACTTTCCACAGTACTGAACTGCATCTTGTTGGATAGCGCTCAGTGCTCAAGTCAGTCAAGATCCTTCTGAATCTTGAGTCTATCTTCTAAAGCGTTAGCAATTCCTCCCAGCTTGGTGTTGTCTGCAGATTTGCTGAGCTCTCCTTCTGTCTCCTTATCAAGATAATTTACAGGTAATCCTTGACTTACAACCATTTATTTAGTGATCATTCAAAATTACAACGGTACTGAAAAAAGTAGCTCATCACTGTTTTTCACACTTATGACCAGTGCAGTATCCCTATCAAACTTTGATTGCTTAGCAAATGGTTCATATTATGATGGTTGCAATGTCCTGGGGTCATGTGATCCCCTTTTATGACCTTCTGACAAGCAAAGTCAATGTGGAAGCCAGATTCACTTCACATCTGTGTTAATAATTTAACAGTTACAGTGATTCACTTAACAACTGTGGCAAGAGAGGTTGTCAAATGGAGCAAAACTCACTTAACAACTATTTTGCTTAGCAGTAGAAATGTTGGGCTGAATTGTGGCCATAGGTCAAGGACTACCTGTATGAAGATGTTGAAGAGCAATGGAAGAACCCTGAGGTATCCCACTGCATATTTCTCTCCATGTTGCTGTAGTTCCATTGAGGACTACATGCTGAGTCACAGACCTGCTTCTTCAGGAGATGAGAAAGAACAATAGAATAGATTAGAATAGAATAGAATAGAATAGAATAGAATAGAATAGAATAGAATAGAGTAGAGTAGAGTAGAGTAGAGTAGAGTAGAGTAGAGTAGAGCTGAGCTGGAAGGGACCTTGGAGGTCTTCTAGTCCAGCCCCCTTCTCAAGCAGGAGAACTTATACTGTCTCCGACAGGTGATGTACAACAGCTTAGTCTAGTTTTTGTCTCTGACCCCTTAATCATCTTAGTTGCTCTTCTTTGCACTTTTTCCAAAGTGTTAAATTTCCAAAGTGATGTTAAATTGTGTATTGGTAGGAAGCGGCTTGTTCTATTTTGACTGAGGGAGGAGAAGATGAGATGTTAATGCCTGGGACAGTTTTTTTTTTAATTAGACATTTTTTCTTTCTGTTCTCTAGATATGACATCATGAACCTGCAACACATAGAAGCTAACCATTATGATTATGTCCACATCGGGACTTGGCATCAAGGAGTCTTGAATATCGATGATAACCGAATTCAAATGAACAAAACTGAAATGGTCCGGTCTGTATGTAGTGAGCCATGTTTGAAAGGTCAAATTAAGGTAATTGTTCCTTTGGAGGTACTTTTGTTGAATAAAATAGATGTAATCATTTTCTGGGCTCCTGCCTTTGACACCCCCCCCCCATGGCTGACACTTGATCCTGGGAAAAGACACAATGGTTTAAGGTATTCCAAATAGGTGCTATAATAGGAATAGCAATAGCACTTAGACTTATATATCGCTTCACAGTGTTTTACAGAACTCTTTAAGCATATTGCCACCAACAATCTGGGTCCTTATTTTACCGACCTCAGAAGGATGGAAGGCCTAGACCAGGGGTAGTCAACCTTGGCTCTTTTATGACTTGTGGATTTCAACTCCCAGAATTCCTGAGTCAGCTATGCTGAGGGAAAAGGGAGAGGTTTCCAAGCTGAGCCATGCTGGCTCAGGAATTCTGGAGCCATGCTGGCTCAGGAATTCTGGGAGTTGAAGTCCACGAGTCATAAAAGAGCCAAGGTTGCCTACCCCTGGCCTAGACAATCTTGAGCCGGTGAGATTTGAACTGCTGAACTGCAGCTGGCAGTTGGCAATCAGCAGAATTAGCCTGCAATACTGCATTCTAACCGCTGCACCACGGCGGCTCTTAAGCTAACCCAGGTCCTCTCACATTTTCTTCTTCAAATCCAGAATATTGCCCAGCCCTAAAAAAATAATAAACATTTTACTCCAGTAGTTTGTGGACAATTTTTGTTGTTATCCCAAATTTTGCAGAGTATATATGACTCATTTTTCTTTCTGTTAGATGACGTAAACTTTACCTTAAGAAATGCAGCATATGTGGCATTTTTTAAGCTCTTCTTTTTCTTCTCTTTAAATCATATCACATCACCAACAGGGACTTTTAGTCCCAGAGATCTTGGATACAATTGCAGTATTCAAGTCCTTCCTTCAAGGTGTTTTCAAACACTTATTTTTGTCATGTTTTTATTCAGCAAGGTTATCTTCCCTAAAGACACTAGTAAATAGAACACTTTTGTCTCATAGCTACCATCTTAATCCTGCATTTTTTAGTCGCTCTTAGATTTCTTGCTGATAATATTTGTCTCCCTAGCTTGAAAAGTTTCTCCTGGTGATCTGATGAGGGGAGGGAATGGTAAATGTGAATTTATTTACTTCAAAAAGTGTTAGTTTTTGTTCATTCTATCCCACTTGCAGTCCTGTCTTAATGGCATTACTAGGGGCGGTGGTGCTGCCACAATTGCTCTTTTATCAAACCTAGTTTAGTCATAACTACAAATTGGGCTGAAAATGAGATGTTCTCCTTAAAATATATTGTCGTCCATTTTGCCTATGCTTCCTATCATATCCTACTACTGAAATCCTATTTGTTTCACGAACATTATCTCTTTCATTTTCTAATAAGTGTTTGTATTCCTGTTTTTGAATAAAGGAATATAGTCAGAGCCTTCTGCTTTATTAAAAAGACTTCCCATGGGTTTTTTTTCTGAATGAACAGACTATATCTGGCACTACAGAGCCCTGGTAGCGCAGTGGTTAGAATGCAGTATTGCAGGCTAACTCTGCTCACTGCCAGGAGTTTGATCCTGATTGGCTCAAGATTGACTCAGCCTTCCATCCTTCTGAGGTCAGTAAAATGAGGACCCAGATTGTTGGGGGCAATAGGCTGACTCTGTAAACTGTTTAGAAAGGACTGTAAAGTACTATGAAGTGGTATATAAGTCTAAGTGCTATTGCTATATCATATTCTATAATGTAACATTTACTGAACAATATGGTAGCTAATTATGTTATATAACTCCAGTTCCCTTACATGGAGACTAAAGTATACACCACATACTGCATTTCCCCTGTTCCCACATCATAGGCAGCTTTGAGCTGCAAAACAAAATCTCTATTCAAACAAAACTTCTACCTGCTGACTTCATTTGTATCTTGATAAAAACAATTTGCTACCCACCCTTTTCATTTGGCATGAAGCAAAAAAAAAACAAAAAACCCCATGAGAATCAAACAATGTATAGAAAGTTAGCTTGACAGAACAATGGTTCCATTTACGTGGTGGAGGATGGCTGATAAAAAGCTGCAGTGTTACAGAAGGGGAATATCTATTAGTGAACTATCTGTTAGTAATACTTTATTTGCTCTTTCATATAGCATTGGATTGTCCTTTTTTAGTTCTATGAGAAAAACAAAGGACCTGCACTGTTCAATTTCCAAAAATGGGTAATTTTAATGTTTTCAGTAGAGATCAAAATAAACCCACCTGACCTGTGTCCTTCCATCAAAATCTTATTGTCTCTTCTTGAATTATCCTTTTATTTGAAAGGAGGAGACAAGCAAACTGGCTACAATTGAAGATACTGACCTTGCTTTAGCTAAAGATGTTGGCAGGTCTCAACTAGAGTTTCTTTACTCCAAAAAAAGGACTCTAATGAGGATTCAAGTGCAAAATCTTTTTCATATTTGTAGAAACTAATACTCAAGTAGCATATGGTGACCAACCCAGATTGGGTTCTGCAACATTATCCTGGAACACGTATATTCACTTTCATTCATTAATGTTTCAATCAAGATAGACTTTTGAGGTTATCAATTCTTTTACTTTCCAACTGCATTTGACCTACAAAATGACCCTAGGTTGCAACAGACAATTAGTCTCTGCAGCTCAGTCTTTAGTTGAACTGGATTTGCATATCATACTAAATTAAAATATTGCTTTCTTCTGACTATGTAATATATGAGTGCAATTATTATAGATGGTAGGGAGCACTCAGTGCTCAGCGCTGCATGATGGGGTGAGCTCTCGTTACTTGCCCCAGTCCCTGCCAACCTAGCAGTTCGAAAGCATGCAAATGCAAGTAGATAAATAGGTACCACTTTAGTGGGAAGGTAACAGGAAGGTAACACCTATGCATTGGTGTATAGTCATGCTGGTCACACGACCACAAAAGGGTCTTTGGACGATGCTGGCTCCATTGGTTAAGAAACAGAGATGAACAATACCCCCTAGAGTCAGACAGGATAAATCTTTGTTTTATAGATGAGTGTTATAGATCAACTTGGCTGTCAATAGTTTTAGGATAAGATCTTCTCTGGCTCTGTACTTTGACTCCTTTTTCTGGTGAATGCCAAGGTAAGAAGCCCTGGGACAATTAGATTGAAAGCCTTGAGTCTTGTTATGGAGCTACAGATCTTTCAAAGCCTCAAGCACTTTGTTTTTACTTGCAGAAGATCTATTTTAGCCCAGATAAGTTGAGTCATCAATACAGGTTTTAAAATTTGTCTATTGCTATTACTTTATGAGACTGTATTCATAATGTCATCCACTATATTGCTAGAGGGACAACGTATTCGGAAACCACGTTAAAAGGTTTTCATGTAAAAACAAATATCTAATTTTATTGTAGGTTATAAGGAAGGGAGAAGTGAGCTGTTGCTGGATTTGTACAGCTTGCAAGGAGAATGAATTTGTGCAAGATGAGTTCACATGCAAAGCTTGTGAACTGGGATGGTGGCCTAATGATGAGCTGACAGGTATGAGCAAATCTTTACATTAATAGTCTTACAATAACTACTCCAAAATAATAATGTTTATTTTACTTATTTATCTTCCATTTTCCTTCTTAAATTCAATTTCAAAGCAAGGTGTATAATGAATAGACAGAAAAAGTACAATACCTGGACAGTCACAAAAGTATGTGTCTGATTGCACGTACAAAAAAGAAATCAATGTCCATAAAGTAGTCTTCATTTAGCAACTGCCTCATTTAGTGGCCATTCGCATTTATGACAATGATGAAAAAGTAACTTTGCCACCAGTCCTCACCTTTATGACATTCATGGATCTGTAAAGCAAAAGAAAGCTGAAGTAAGATCAACACAGTAGCAGTTTCACTTAGCAACTGCCTCACTTAACAACTGAATTACCAGTCCCACAGATTACCAACTGGGATTGCTAAATGAGAACTACCTGTAGATTGATACTTCGATATGGGGATGTACACTTCAGGCATTTTCTTCTGGGCAGCTGTGATCCCCACAGGAGAGAAAAGGAGTACACAATCCTCCTGTTGTATGTTTCTCACTCTGTTATTTAAAGGCAATTCATGATATCTACTTTAGGTCCTTTAGTCAAGTGGCAGAACTCTTATAAGAATCTCAGAGGAAAGTAAGTCAAATTTCTGTTTGGACCTTCCTAGTCTACCTTGTCATTGTCCTCTGATTCTAGCTGAACCAGTTTTGTGAATCGCAGCTGACATTCAAAAGTAAATTGGCAAGCAAAGCAACTGTTGTAGAATAGGAGTCATATGAATGTAAGCTTTTGCATTTAAGTTCAATTGAAGTTTAACAAAATTTTCAAAGAAAACATCATGGGGAGCATCTGACAATAACACAATGTGGATTGCTACTAGGATAATTTATAAGCCGGGTAAAAATCAACGGCATCAGTTAAAATTATGTAGTGAAAGCAAAAAGGAACGCTGAAATTCTACAAAAAGTCAAAAGAAGCCATCATTCCAAGTTAAGTCTGAAGGAGTGTGATGGCTCAGTGATTAAAAATACTGAACTTGTCAGCTTGACAGCCTGGGTTGAAGACCTAAGTGCTGCGCGACAGGGTGAACTCTCGTTACTTGCCCCAACTCCTGCCAACCTAGCAGTTCAAAAGCAAGTGGATAAATAGGTACCACTTCAGTAGGAAGGTAACAGCATTCTGTTGCTGTTGGCCACGTGATCAAGGAAGTGTCTTTGGACCACACTGGCTCTCTCAGCTAAGAAACAGAGATGAGCACCGTCCCCTAGAGTCAGATATGACTGGACAGGGGAAACCTTTACCTTTAGAAATTCTGAATGAAAAAAAGTCACAATACATGCAGTATAATACAGGCAGTTGGTTTCAGACAGTCGATTGTTATGTAATAGTTCATCTTCCACATGAAAATTGTATATATCTTACTACAGAGAATATTAATGGAGGCAAATGAGTTTCTATGATAGGATGAGAACTTTATTTGACTTCTGGAATATTTACAGCTGGAATAATGTAAAATTACTCAAAGCATCATAGCCACTAGGATTAGAAATCATCAGCCTTTCAGGTAGCTAATATAACAAACAGTATGTTCAGTATGTGGCAAAACATTCCGTGCTAACATCGGTCTAATCAACCATCTACGGACACACCGTTGATGGCCCACAATCCACAAGATGTCAAGGTCTTCATCGAAATCGATGGACGAACAACAACATAACAAACACAAACTATGAGTATTAACACTATCTTTATAGTGTTTGGTAGGGTTACAGTAACAGAAACTTGCAAGTTTGAAAGTACTTCCCCCCTCCTTACTTTTACTTTCCCGAAAACTAGGGACGGTGCCTTCTGAGATGCTGTCTTTATCCTTACCCCTCCTTCGGTCTCAGATGTCATTTATCAGACTTGACTAGGCTACAGCTCTACCTCCTTATCTCCCAAGGTCATTCCCTCATACCATTACCTGAGCTATCTTACCAGCCCTTAAATAACTCCATGGCCTTCTAATTCATTTCTGAACACATCTGAAAATGGAAATTAGGTTAAACAGCACAGAGTTTGGCATGGGTAGGAGACACTTAGCACAACCCAATGGATTTGCAACACAAACCCAAGCTTGCTAAAAAAATAATCCAAGCCATATTTACCCCTGATCAATCACATTAATATTCACTTCACTTTACTCCTAGGAAAAGAAAGGATGAAAGAGAGTTTTGCATTTGTTCTACTTTGCTTCCAGTTGCTATTCCCTTCTTCTCCCCACCCCACCCCACCCCAAGAATGACACAGAAGAGATCTGCATGTCCTTTCTGCCTGCTACTCAGTCTGCCTGCTGTATGGGTCAGGAACCAATATGGCATGGTAGTTAGAATGCTAGGCTATAACAGAGTAGACACAAGTTCCCACCGCCATGAAAGTTCACTGGATGGTTTTGGGTCAGCCCCTCTCTCTCAACCCAATCAGCCATATACAAGGTACAAGGTACAGGTGCAAGATTCTTGTAGGGAAAAATATGAACAGGAGTTACTATTCTTGCTACTGTGTTCCTGGAGAAAAGATAGGAATCCAGGAATGTTTTTAGCAAAACCCTTAGTAGGAATTTGATGTGTGTGCGCATTGCTGTTAGTTATACCACCCGTAAAACTACAAATAATTTGAATTAATAATTTTCTTTAAAAAAAAAAGAACAGGCATTTATTTTGGGTGGTCAAATCATAAATGAGATTGATGTTATACAATTTCTGCACTCCAAAACTTGAAGTAGCTGTGTATTCTTAAGAGTTTAAAATTTACAGCTAGTTTTCACCACATGTATTATTATAGTTGCAGAGTAGCATTGAGATTATTGGAACATTGTGAGGGAGTAAAACTGTAGGTGGCAACAACTGCTTTAAACCATCCGACTCCTATATTTCTTGGAAATTCATTTGGCTTTTTCTTCTGCTCAGCAGGCATTTATAATTCATTTAAAACTTTACATACTCATGCCTACATTATCAAACTCATGACTGTTGACCAAATAAATTTGCACCTAAACTGGGCAATCAGCATAAATAGGATGATGTATGTATCCCACTCATGTACCCTTAACCTAGTAGATCTTTTATCCCTGTTTTTTCTACAAAGTGAATGCAGAGTTTCATTTAGGTAAAACAAACAAACAAACAATACATCACCTTGACAGTTAATGAAACTGAAGCTGCTGGATTTCTGGCTGTCCAGATTACAAGTTATGCAGACAAATAATTATATAGATAATGCTGTCAAGTAGAATAAGGACTGAAATGCATGATATCTATTTAAAATTTTAAAAATCCATTCTTAATGTTGCTTTTAATAGTCAGGAATATTGTCTAGTAATCATCAAAATGTCCAGCCACTTTAAAAATGAAATGCCTCTGCTATCTAACTGTCTTATATACTGTAAATGTCTCAGAAGCTGAATAAATATGTTGGCAGGAGAATTAATTTTGTCTGTGTATTACTAAATAGAAACTGTAACTAACATCTATTTGGTCTGAATGCTTTCCTGGGGATGTTCGCTGACCTTGAAGTTGTAAGTATACAGTTTAGAAATAAATAGATTCTGAGAACTAAACTCTTCTTCAAATTGCCATGAAAAATTAAGAAGAGTCTGTTCTTTTTTATGTGGAGTAAGAAATTACAACAATGATACACAAGAGGACTTGCAGTTGTGTGGTAGGCTTTCCCTTGTGTTTCCTCTTTTTTTTGTCCAAATTCGTGGAGCAGGTTTAGCAAATACCGGGGGAGCTGGAAGGAGGAAGGATAATCTATTCTGTTGGCAGATTTTGTTCTACCAACGAAATGACATAATTAGATGAAGCCTTTCACTGTCTTTTGTGCAAAAATCACTCGTTTTGATATGAATGCAGGATCACTTCTCTTATGCAACGGCTCTTTAATGATCCCAAAGGAGCTTTTTATTTTGCTATATTTGTCTGCTCATCCAATCATTTCTTTTTCTTTTTTGTATCCTGTAGGCTGCAAACCTATCCCTGTAAAGTATCTGCAGTGGAGTGACATAGAGTCCATTGTAGCTGTGGTCTTCTCTTGCCTGGGCATCCTCGTCACCATGTTTGTTACCCTTATCTTTGCACTGTACAAGGACACCCCTGTCGTCAAATCCTCTAGCCGGGAGCTGTGCTACATAATACTTGCGGGGATCTTCCTTGGTTATATATGCCCTTTCACCCTCATTGCTAAGCCCACTGTCACCTCATGCTACCTCCAGCGTCTTCTGGTGGGGCTTTCCGCTGCCATGTGCTATTCTGCCCTTGTAACAAAAACCAACCGAATTGCACGCATTCTGGCAGGGAGCAAGAAAAAAATTTGCACCCGCAAACCACGCTTCATGAGTGCTTGGGCCCAAGTGGTCATTGCCTCCATTTTGATCAGCGTACAGCTGACATTGGTGATTACACTGATCATCATGGAGCCCCCTTTCCCCATCCTTTCCTACCCCAGTATCAAGGAAGTCTTTCTGATCTGCAACACCAGCAACTTAGGCGTGGTTGCCCCAGTGGGCTACAATGGACTCCTCATCATGAGTTGCACTTACTATGCTTTCAAAACTCGCAACGTGCCCGCCAATTTCAATGAAGCTAAGTATATTGCCTTCACTATGTACACAACCTGCATCATCTGGCTTGCCTTTGTACCTATATACTTTGGGAGCAACTACAAGATCATTACAACTTGCTTTGCCGTGAGCCTGAGTGTGACAGTTGCCTTGGGGTGCATGTTCACTCCCAAGATGTATATCATCATTGCAAAGCCTGAAAGAAATGTCCGCAGTGCCTTCACCACTTCAGATGTGGTGCGTATGCATGTCGGGGATGGCAAGACACCTTGTAGGTCCAACACTTTCCTCAGCATATTCCGGAGAAAGAAGCCAGGCGCTGGAAACCCAAAGTAAGTACTTTGACAATGCACCTCTATAACGCTCTCTTTTTCTCTTCCTTGTTCTTCCAAAACCTATGTGTTCAAAAAAAATATTTTGCATTAAAGAAGCTAAGCAAAGCAAAATCTGAAATAGGGATTTGTTCTTCCTCTTTGCTGCTCTGAAACTGCAACCAGTCTAATATTCTGACATGTTCTTATCATCTCCAGTCTTATAAACCTTTCTGGTTTCCTTTGATTTTTGTTTTCTGCTCACTAATAATATGCATATAAAATAATCGGACAGCACAGTGAACTATCAACAAATCTTGGAAAGGCTGTTTTTACATCTGCAATAATTTTTCATTCTGTGCCAATACAGTCACACAATGAAGAATTTACTAAACCTTTACTAACTTATACATTAGGCTTCTCACAGAGACAACTGAAAATCTCAGCTCTCCAGATGCTCAGCCTTTACTCAGTACGAGGTACTCAGTAGAAAACTCACATGCATCACGCCACAAGATTGGTTTCTTTAATACAGACAAGAAAGAAACTTTATACTGTACATAAAGAAGAACTGCTATCTCAGGTGTTTAAATTCTAAGCCTGCTCCTGCTTCTTTGAATCAACAGATATTTGATTGCTCTCTCAGCCTAGAGAGACATTGCTCTGTATTGACTTCATTTTGTACATTATGGGCCTTTCTAATAAACTGAGATTCTATTATGCTCAGTGGTTGACTAAAACTGAATCGAACAGTCTTAATCCGCTAAGAGTGCTTTTGTCTCAATAAGCTTTTTTCACAGTCCAATATATGACAGGTAAGTCACCTGGAAAGGTTCTTAAAGTCATTTCAAATTCAGTGTTTTTCTGACTCTGGTTCTGCTTAACAAAAATACTCACCCAAACTACCCTGCAAATCTGCCAAAGTTGTTGGAAGGCTGTGCACAGAACAGCACTTTAGCCAACAAATTGACGAATGTTGTATTTCAGCAGCTTTCAGCTGACTGAATCTTTTCCCTAGAAAAAATAGGCCTCACATTGTTTATGAATTATAGTGCAAGGCTCTATAAGAAAACTCTTCCTGAATTCTGTGTGGATACGGCAGAACCTTATGATTCATTCACTCCATCATTTTTTCTCTGCCTGATGAAAAATCCTGGGAGTTTTTTCTATTCATGCAGTCTCCATTGAAAGAAGGAATTAATAGAGACTTTTCTGTGGTTTTGCCTTTATTCAAACAGAAGGAAGGAATGTTGTGGGATGATAATTACATGCACAAGTAACTGTAGGGCAATTAGATGAATTTCTTACCTTATAAAACAAAGTTTACAGACACTTCTATATAATATAGAGATGATATTTGAGACTATCATTACCATCCTTATCATGATCCAACTAATTTAGTTTAATATTCATACTTGACTAATTTCATAGGATTCTACATAGTGTTATTTCTAGATTGGTATTATTAGACAAAAGTGGTTCATCCTAGAATAGAAAGTAATGGTAAGCTAAGCTATTTTTTTATTATTTTGAATAAAATTCAGTTGATGCTTGATATTCATCAAAGCTTAAGAATTTGAAGGGCTCAGTTCAGGAACGTCTGGAAATGTAATTGCAATAGATCTTCTCAAGACAGCAGGTATGCAACTACCAGTTCTGAATGATTAGCAGGATAAAAAACAATGCCCTGAAATAGCAATTCATGTAAACTTTTAAAATTTATTTAGTTTTTTGTTACAGTAGTGGTACAGAAGAATCATTAGAGCCGTGAGTTTGGGAAGATTACATGTACAAGAATAGGTAAATGTTATGCTTAATTATTTTTTGTCCTTTGAGGAATGTTATGTTATGAGAAACACAATATTTCTGGCAGGTTTTTTAAAACCATTTTTGTTCTTTTTCGAGGTCCAATATAAAATGTTAAAATAATTACTCTGATAATTTTATAATTCTTATCTTTTTTATTTATTAAGTTTTAAAAGCAAAGGAACAACATTAAAATGTCCAAAGAATATCAATAAATATTGCCGAATTAGAGATAGGAGAAGAATAGATAACAATATTGAACATTTTATAATCAGCAATAAGGTCCTGATCATTTGCCGTTGAAAAAAACTACATCATAAGCTCCGCTGAGAATTTAGTTCTAGAAAAAAAAATGGAAGTAGATAAAGAACTAGAAGAATTGAAAACCATTCCCCTATTTTTCTGGCTCATAATATCTTCCAAAAATGCACTAAAATGCTATTTATTTTTATATTTGAATTTGCATACCACTTATGGACTTTGAGGGAAAAAATATTTATGACTGTTTACTTTGTGTGAAAATACATATAAAAATAAACATTTTGGAGAGTTTTATTTTTAAAGAATCAGATTATTGCAGAAACAAACAGAATGTATTAATGAACTGTCATGGGGAGGAAATGCTAACAGAATTAGTCAAGAGAGCAAACAATTTCCTTCAAAAAGGATTTTATTATAAAAACATCTTAAAATAAAGATTTTATTATAATTCCTTATCCATTCCTTTCAATACAACATGGGCATGACTCAGAAACAGGCTATTTATTTATAAGAGCTGCTAGAGAACAAAAATGGAAGTGGATAAAAAAGAATGAGGCAATTTTACAGACTCAGGTATTGTAAGAAACAAAGTACCATCTCTTCTCGGCTAAAAAAAAATCCAGTCTTTATCCATAGTAGAAATTCAAAATAATTGTATTAAATGAATGCTCGCCTTTGTAAATGTTCAGATGATCTGTCTGAATTAAAGTTCATAGTATCTAGTTTACATGTAATGTTAAGCCATAATATGGTTTGAGATTTTGGGGCTCAGTGTAATTTAGCCTTATTTGGAACCAGGGACTCTGGGAAGTAAAACATGGTTTAAAAATCCTGGCATAGGGTGTTGACTGAATTCACCCAATATGAAACGCCAAACTGCCCACTGTGTCATTCTGTTGCAACAGAAAATACAACTGCATTCTAATTGGTATCCAGCTCTAGTTTAACCTGGAGTTCTTCTATTTGCTCAAATATATTCTCATTTCCATCTATAAGAAGGGGAAAAATAATCTAAGAGTAGCCTTGCCTTGTAGTAAAATATATATTACCAGTACATTTATGCAACTTTGACACTTCTCTTTGTAAATGTGAAATTGTGGGCATTGTTTATTTATTTATTTATTTTATTTATTTTATTCAATTTGTATCCCGCCCTTCTCCCGAAGGACTCAGGGCGGCTCACAACATTCTTAAAAAACAAAAACAAACCCACACACCCCACCGAATAAAACCAAATTAAAACCAATATTTTAAAGTTGTGGTAATTAAAATTACTAAGAAACCCAATTTAAAATCCTCCCTAGGCCAGGCCCGCTTGTTGGAAAAGCC